AGGGGGGAGAGGGGGAGAGAGAGAGAGAGAACAAAATACAATAAAATGTTTTTTAAAATCCTTACCTTTTTCAGATTAGTACAATAATCCGTCAAGGCTCTATGTGTTCAGCACATTCCAGAAGTCAAGTCCAAGTGAAGAACAAACAGCTCTTGGCTACGACATCATTGCATGAACCAACGTATAATCCTCAGAAATTGTCCTCAAGAAGATTCCGTCACTCATTTCTGTGAAGTAAGAAATGACTGAACACCATACGCCTACAGTAGCCAATTTCTGAGACTATTTCTTCAGTTCTGTTTCAGTAAACAGCTCAGATGAGCAATTCGCCTCCGGTTTTGTCGTCTGCGAGTGTGTGTGTGTGTGTGTGTGTGTGTGAGCGGGGGTGAGAGAAATGTCGTCTGGTTTCCTCAAGGCTCAAAGTCAAAGCGCGTTCTTTCCTTGCGCGTAGTACGTCCAGCCCTTTCAGAGAGGTGTCTCTCTCTCTCTCTCTCTCTCTCTCTCTCTCTCTCTCTCTCTCTCTCTCTCTCTCTCTTTCTCTCTGTTTCTCTCTCTCTCTCTCAAAGTTCCAATACAGAGCGACAGTGACCACCAAAGGCGCCGCTCTCCGATGACCATACCAGCACACAACTCCGACGATGATGCTATTTTGACTGGCTCTTGGGCTGTTGCAAGAAGCAGACGTCAAATATTCCAAATCGCACCCGCGCGAAAAGACGGACAGAACGCGCCTCAACGCTACAATACAATACCCTCTACCTTCCACGCGAAGATCTCTCGCTAGCGGTGTTGAGAGGGCTGTCCTTAGTTCGCCGTCAACCCCACCCTCGCCGTGCGGGGATGTCAATCATGACGCGAAATCCCCCTACGAGAGGGCGGGGCTTAGGACGCCGGAGCGTGGGGTTTGCGCGCGAGCGTGTGGCGCCCAGAGAAATTGTGTCGTCAGGAGGGAGACCGCGCGCTTCTGTTGGGGGGAGGGGAGGCGAAGGCCGGAAGCGGAAATAGGCACGTCGTCGAGAGAAGTGTGGGGCCATTATGATTCCAGACTGCATAAGGGCGAAATGACCCGCCGGACTGGCATACAGGACAACCAAGTGATGTAAGCGTCGACATAGTAAGGAAAAGGTCTTCTTAAAGCTCCCCCCCCCCTCCCTCCCCCAAGCCAATTCTTAGTGCTGGGAAAAAGTAAGTCGGACAAACATAGACAACAGATGGAAAGCAAAGAAGTAGGACCTACCAATGGCATCCCCTCCCCATCAACCAACCGCTTAAAATAAGTTATAGCGTAAGAAATTGTCTTTCGCGTTTGACTTCACAGCTACCCCCAAGTTGACCCCCGAAGAGAGAGGAGACCTCAGATGTGTGTAGTAGATCAAGGACGTTCAGAATGGAAGGCTGAAGTAGACCTTAATCCCGACAGAAACAAAAACTGGGATGAATAAATATGAGACCTGGAGTCTACCAGCGGCGTCCTCAATAAACTCGAAGTAGGTCAAGGTCATCAGCTGACAAATAGAAATTACTTTTACCATTTATGAAACATAAACTGTGTGTGAAAGGGCGTTTATTATACCAATGCCTTTGGATCTGCAGTGCTTTGTCACGTACTTTAAAAGAGATATACACTTTTTATTACGCTAACTTAGAATTACTAAGCTTTTTTCTCTGACATTTTTGGCCGTTTTGAGTTACTATAATAAGACCATGAGGTCAGAAACCAAATGTTCAATCTACTCTACCAGAAATGTAAGAATATTCGGAGTCGCTATCAAGATATTCAAAGAATTGCATTCGAAAAGCTTTACAATGTGAAACTCAACGTTTTATTACCTCGAATTTCTCATGACTAGGTACTGAGCAGATAGAACTTTGTAATTCTGAAGTACCGATTGATGCAGCTATTTCGGTTTTATATTAAATTATAGTATTAGAAAGAGAAAGAGAGAGAGTGAGAGAGAGAGAGA